ACTGAGGCTGTCTCACCTCAGCCACACACTTAGGGTGGCAGTTATACTCAACTGCCCCCCTCTTTTTCTCCCTTTTCCCTGCACTCAGCCCTACACTGAGTGCAGGTTCAGCGGGAAAATGACTGTTTTCAGCCAAGTTCCCTTCACTGTCCCTCCAGTTTACAGCTCTAGCCTGAATGACCGCATTCAGGCCAATGCTGTTTGAACTTGGTGCACGGCCGCGACCACGTTCGCGGCCGTGACTGTTCCTTTCTCTCCCCTCTCTACTTTTCCTCTTCTCCCCTGCCCTCCCCTGAAAACGGGGATGGCAGTTGTCAGATTGGGAGAGGTAGGGAAAGAGCTCGTGAAAATGCACGAGTTCAAATCCCGACAGGCTCAGGGCGGGGTGCAAAAAGTACCCCGACTTTAAGCATTTTTAGAAAAATATTCGCTCAATAAAAATATTTAAAACAATTCCTGCGCATGGCCTAAGTGCCTGACTATCTACAGAAAAAATTGCAAGGTCAAAAAAATTGTTTTACGCCTCCAGAAAAATAGTGGCGCAAACTGAAAAATACAGTTTTTCAAAACAAAACTCAGATTCCGTTTTTTCGTTTTCTTTTCTTTTCTTTTCTTTTCTTTTTCTTTTTTTCTTTTCTTTTCTTTTTCTTCTTCCCCCCCCTGACAACGAGGAGGCAGCTGGCAGGTCGGGAGGAGCAGGTCCTCCTCTCTCCCATCCTCCCATTTCTCTCTTTCTCACTCTCCACTCAACTCCTCCAACCCCCTCTTGCTTTTCAACCCCCCCCCCTTCCTGCCTATGCCTGCATATAGCCTACGACCCCAGCCAAATTCAGACACAGGCTGGGGTGGTTCCCTCAGCTGTTGCTGAGGGAACAGTTGCTCGTTTTCCCACGAGCAACTGCCCCCAAGCCTTCCCCCTTTTTTTTTTTTTTTTTTCTTTAATGCCGTTGGCTTATGCAATGACCTTTCAGCCACGTCTAGTAGGGAGTTGCAGACCCGAGTTCGAGTCCAACAGGACTCAGAAAAAAAAAACTTTGGATTTTTTCTCGATTTACGCGTGTCATCCTTGCGCAGGGGCCATGCAACATCTGCGCGGCTGTTTCCAGGCCGTGCGCACGGCCGAAATCGGCCGCGCCAGATTGCTTTTCCATCCCTGGCCAGCTCAAAAGAGCTAGCCCAGATAATGCTGTGTCAGCCTCGATCCCGAAACCTGCTGGGTGAAAGTTTGAGGCAGTACCTACTGGGCTAGCTATTATCAGTGGAACTAGAGCAGCAACCCTTCTATTTGAAGGGTTGCGCCCAGTAGTTTGCCTCCAGCCTGTGGCTCAGCAGGCTTCAACTGCCTGAAGCCTTGCAGGCCCTGTCTGCCGCTTTCCCGTAGACGGCAGACCATCCACGGCTAGGCCTCGGCACCTCCCCTGTCGGCCCCTTGGCTTGATGTTAACCCCGCGGTCCCAAAAAAAAAAAAAAAAAAAAAAAAAAAAAAACTTTCTACCCTTCTTGCGCCGCGGTTCCATCCTCCGTCGCGGCGACCCCTTTTCCACTTACCTAGGCCCTAAATCGCGCGGCTTAACAACCGCGCGACCTTAGTATGGGTAGAATAGGTTTATTTATTTATTTATTTATTTATTTATTTTGTTCAGAACCTCTCGGTTCCGGCTCCTGCCATTCTGGGGAGCAACGGTCCGGTTCCTATCCCCCGGCAAGTCAAAGTTGAATACAAAAACCACACACACACGCTCCTCCCCATTCCGGTTGAGAGGCCCGAGTGGACGGCATTCATTACTTCCTTTGGGAAGGATATAAAATAGGTTTAATTTTAACGTTCCCATCTCCGCATGTCTCTGCGGCGCGCGACAAGGCGAAGCCTTACCTTTCACATCCGTTACTCCCGGACGCCACACGCGTTCGGACTAAAGCCTAAAAATTGTTTTTTGTCTCTCAGTCATGGGTCAGGTCTAAATAAACTTTTGGCAAACGTCAGTCTCATCAAGTCCTTTAATCCAACGAAAAGTCAGACAACGTCCGACGTTTAAAATCCTCGGCAAATACCCTTGTCAGGGTATTTGCTCCGACACCGGGTTTCCGGGTTCCCTCTCAACTTTGGACTTAGTGCTTAACCAGAAAGAAACCTGGCCAACCACATGGTTAACAAGAAACCTCGTTATCCAAATGGCTAACTCATGTCAGTGAGCCAGCACCAGCAAAGAGCAAGCCACTGAAATGCCTCAACAGCCAAAGATGCAAAGGTGTGAGGAAACTCTGCATGTTGCCACACATTTCCTTCATGGTGAATTCATCCGAACAAAGTGCAAGGAAAATGAGCAAGAGCGATAAACAGAAAACCAAGTTGCAAAATCACGCAGAAGTCCAGATAGTCGTGTACTAAACAGAGAGCTCAAATGCACCAAGATTCCATCCAAATAAGAGCGGTACAATGAACTCGTGAGCCAATGTCCAAGCCCTTAGGCCACTTTCACCCCATCCCACTTAGCCTTATGGTTAGGTGTTTGCCTGCCGAGCCGAGAGTTGCGTGTTCGAGTCCTGAATTCGACATACACACCAACACAGTATCCAATGTTGCTCCTACTGTATGGCGCCCAGCGCCCAGCGCCCAGGCTACTCTACTCAGCCTATCTATCCTATCTACATTCGTGCAACAGGCTCACTTCGCCGTCGCAGACCAATGTACATGACGTCAACACCAATGCCAACCTCCCACATACACCAGGTACGTTCTCTCGTCTCTCCTCATCAGACCCTGTCCACCCATTCATGCACCTCCTTCCTGAAGACCACCGTCGCCCATCACCTGCCCGCGCCCCTGCAGCCCAGCTATGGGCGCTAAGCGCCCCGCTGCCCTGCAGCACCCCACTTCACCTCACAGCGCCTTATGCTCCCCAGCCAGCAGCGCTGATGCAGACACTTGCGCACCGCCGCAGCAGCGTGTCCGCATTACCTGCCTAGGCCAGAATGACTTCCCCTGGCCGGCCTCCTCCCTATATGGGAGTAGCTGCCCTGCTGGGCTGCATGGTCCTGACCGAAGAAGTTTCCAGTAGCTTCTGGCCGAGCCCCAGTGTCTGCGCCCAGGCCCATTCCTACAGTTAAGGGCATGGGCCCTCTTCGGTTGGGCACCTTCAGGATGCCTCCAGGCTCCAAGTGTTTGCCGTCTTTGCATTGGCCCGCGGAGTAGGTATGACGACAATGCTCCATTCTAATTGGCCCACCGCCACTTCGTCATGTGTCGGCCTCACACTGTGTGTGCCCAGGGCGTAACCACGTGCGTCCTGGGCTCAACTGCTTGACGCAGCTGCTGCTTCTGGAAGAGCCCAGGGAGAGGCTCAGGTTGCACTTCAACCAACTGGCGTGCAACAACTGTCTGATACCCACATTCTAAAATGCAGAGATAAGGGCCTCTTGTGGATATTCAGGCCCGCCTTCACTTAGGGCGGGCCCGCCAAACTTGCGGAAGGCAACGTTTTTTTTTTTTCTTTTTTCTTCTTCTAGCTAATCCTCCTCCTCTTCTTCTTCTTCTTCTTCTTCTCCTGCTGCTATCCCCGCACCGGTAGCCATATCCATAGCCATACTGCGGCTTTTGTTGTTCTTCTTCGTCATCTTCTTCCCCTTGTCCCTCCTTGTTGGCAGCCATAGCCACAGCGTGTGATTTTTTTCTTCTTCTTCTGTGTCTTCATCCTGTTCTTCTTCTTCTTCTTCTTCCTCTTCCTCTTCTTCTTCTTCTTCTTCTTCTTCTGCTGCTGCTGCTGCTGCTGCTGCTGCTGCTGCCGCTATCCCCCACACCGGTAGCCATATCCATAGCCATAGTTAGACTTCTTTTTTTTTTTTTTTTTTACTGCGGCTTTTGTTGTTCTTCTTCGTCTTCTTCTTCCCATTGTCCCTTCTTCTTCTTCTTCTTTTTCTTCTTCTTCTTCTTCTTCTTCTTCTTCTTCTTCTTCCTCCTCCTCCTCTTCTTCTTCTTTTTTTTTTTTTTTCTACTTCTTCTTCTTCTTCTTCTTCGAGTCTGCCCCTTTATCGTAGTCATAGCCAAAGCCGACGAAGATTTTTATTTATTATTTTAAGTTCTTCTTCTTCTTCTTCTTCTTCTTCTTCTTCTTCCCCCACGTTGGTAGCCATAGCCACAGGCGAAGTTTTTTTTTTTCTTCTTTTTTCCACTTATTCTTGTTGATCTTTGTCCAGCAGTCCCGTCGTCATCCTCCAACTGTAGCCATAGCCACAACCGACGTTTATTTTTACCTTCAAAAAGTCGCTCCTCTTCCTCCTCCTCCTCTTCTACTTCCTCTTTTTCCTATTCTTGTTGTTCTCATATCTCACCAGTGGCCATGCCGGGGGGGCGATGAAGAACGAGGCAGTTGGGGAAGAGCAACAGCAGCGGCAAAGGCGATAGGACCTCCAGTGCCTGTTGTTGACAAGCCTGAATCGAGTACGCGAAGGACAACATCTGCATTGGCTACTTCAGTTGGCGGGGGGAAGGAGCCCACCCCAGGAACCGACGCAAGCTTGTTCTAGGGGAAGAGTGAGGCGGCACATGTTGCACTGCGAAAGAAAAACAAGGTTTGGATCCGGTGTGAGCAGGGACAGGAGGTAGCTACTTCGAAAGGGATGGGGGAGTACTGCGTCAAGTACAGGTTGTGCTCGACAATCTGGAGGGGGTCGGCAAGTAAAACTGCCGAGCATTTATTGAAGCCGATGAAGCCGTCTGCACTACGGACATGTGAGATAGTCCACACTTTGGTTGCTGGCGGTGCTAAAGTGCAGCCAAACGACAAGAACACGAAGTACTTGTTGAGGAATTACAAGGGAGGCGAGGCCGAATCAGATGTACATCTTGGTCATGCATCATGTGGAGAGGAAGGCTTGGAAGATCCGCAGACAGATGAGCCCCAGCCACCGCCTGTTGCAGGGTGGGCAGTTGCCGACATTGCAAACATGCTTGCTGATGCACTTGATGAGGCTGTCGAGGGTGGACGTGCGGTGGAGGGCAGAGGCGGTGAGAAAGGGCAAGGGTTGACAACACGAACGACCACCTTGAGACAGACCACTGTGCGATAGTGGGTGGACAATACGGCGCAGAAGAAGTTGGACATTGCGTGGGCAGAGGCCATGTTCAGGGCTGGTATTGCTTTCAATTTCTTGAACATGGACACGACTCATATATTGCATGTCGTGTACCTAGAGGTAGCCAACTCGAGGCCAAAGGTGAAGCTCCCATCGTACAACTACATGAGGACGGTCATTTTAGACATCATCTACATGAAGATCCAAAAGGAGGTGACCCCGATGACGAGTTGCTGGGACTCGACTGGATGCACGTTCATCACTGATGGGTCAACTGACCGCAAGAATCGGCCAGTGATGAACTTCTTGGCGGCGAGAGAGCAAGGGGCCGTGCTCGTGACGACGGTGACAAGGAGTGGTAGGAAGAAGAATGCGGTGGTGTTGGCAAAGTTGTGGGAGCAGGTAATGAGGGAGATTGGACTACATCGCATCAACACGATATGCACCGACAACGCTGAAGTTAACAAGAAGGCGGCGCATATCCTAGAACGGCGCAAGGACAAGGACGTGGCCAGAATTCCATGGGTTCCTTGTGGGGCACACTGTTGGAGTCTCCTTCTGAAGGATGTGGCCAACCTATCGTGGATCAAGGGCACAGTGAAAACCGCGAAAACAATCGTGAAGTTCATCCGGAATCATCACGCCACACACGACTTGATGATGACTGTCGATGACACGTTGTCCTTACTTCGTCTGACTGAAGTGCGGTTCGGATTTGTGTATCAAATGCTCCAATGGCTAGCTGACAGAGAGGATGTTCTTATCGAGATGGTGGATGGGAGGTCAGCTGGAAAGTGGGGAGCGTTGAGATGGTCAGGGGAAAAGTTGCGCAGGAGAGCCGACCTCGTGTACTACAAAGTGAGGTCCGAGGTATGGTGGCCGCAGTTGAGAGAGATAGTGGACATCATGAAACCGATCTTCCAGTTGCGGAAGAGAATGAACGCAGAAGGAACGCCTCCCACCAATCTTGTTGAGTGTGATGATATGGTTGGGCGGAAATTGACGAATGTGGTGTTGACGAAGGAGCGGGAGGATGTCATGGAGACGGTGCGTGACCGCGTGCAAATGATGAGGCAACCGGTTCATGCAGCTGCATTCGTTCTTGATCCACGACAGAGGAATGAACGTTGGCTCTCCGATCAGAATAGTGCAGTGATGCAAAATGCAATGCGCTWCTTCTTGAGGCAGATTGGGGTTGAGTGGAACAACAAGGCACATTCTGACCTATGGGGGGAACTGATGGACTTCCAGAAGCAGCCCGCGAGGGTTGCGACAGAGAATGTGTGCACGGAGCCCAGAAAAGCTATGAAGAAGTGGAAGGATGAGCACATGCGGGAACAACCGGCGGTGGACGATGTGAAGAGGCTTAACCCTGTGACCTGGTGGGCAGCATATGGCGGGGATGTCCCAACCCTTCAGGCAATTGCAATCAAGGTCATGGGGATGTGGAGCACAACGACCCCCGCTGAGTGCAACTGGGCATCCATGGACTTCGTCCACACGAAGAGACGAAACAGTTTGTCCCCCGCATCCCTCGAGAAGCTCGTCTATATACATTGGAACATGCAGTTGTTGTGAGCTCGACACCACAAGGACAGCGGGTTCGTTGATGTCTGGGATTCATTATTCGAGCCAGTCATGGAGCCACAACAGAATGATGGGTCGACGTTGGTGACCGATACTGAGGATGCTGTTGAGAAAGAGGACGAGGAGATGAGGCAAAGGAACATGGCGAAGGCTCCAAGAAACAGGATCCCCCAAAACCTTTTCGATTCCGACACTAGTGACAGCAGCGACCTTGAGGATATGGTGTGGAAAGGGAAGTGCTGGAATGAGTCATCATCTGAGAACTACAGCGAGGATGATGACTCCGATTTCGAGCTCGGTGTGGTGCCTGCAGTCCGGGCAACCACGTATGTTGGTAGGCGAACTCAACGACAGGACAAGGATCTCGAGGTTGAGCCTACGTCGGTCGTCGATAGAGTGGACATGAACGTAGAGTTTTTGCTGCACCGCCATGATGACCCGGACGAGGAAGAGGCCACCCGTGCAAAGAAGATGGTGTACAGGGATCATGCACTCGTGGACAGGCGGGTCGCTGAGGAGGAGGCCCGTCGTGCAGCGATCCCTACCCGCAGGGAGAGGGAGAGGCGTGCTGCACAACAGGAAAAGCGCGAGGGCGAGGCCTTGAAGGAAATGGACGGGGATATCCAGCCTGCCATGGACACGGGCGAGCAGCAGTAAGGGGAGCCCGCAAAAGCAGCAGTAGAGCAGCAAGCAGCAGTTGCCATGTACACGCGCAGGCCCCGCCCATGTGTGGAGCAAGAAGTGGGAGTGGAGGGAGAGACCACCGACCAGCAGGTTGCAATTAGCAAGAGGGGGAAGGAGCAGCAGGAAGAGCAGCAGGCCGCAGAGGACATTGACACCCCCCCTTTCCCTGAATTGAACGATGCTCTCCACCATGACAACCTCTGGAAGAGCAGGGCAGGCAGGAAGAGGAAGGCAACAGTGGAGGAGTCCCCCAAAGCACCCCGGCGCGGCCGTGGAAGGCCCAGAAAAAAAATGACAGTCGAGAAGACTGCGTCGCAGCACGGACATCGCAACACTACGGCTCGCAAGAAGCGTGTCACTAGTGATGATCACCCGGATAGCGATGGCAGTCCCCCGCAGTCACTTGATGGGGGGATCAGCCCATGCCAGTCCGATTAAGGGATCAAGGGACAGAAGTCCCAAATTGTGTGTGTGCGTGTGTGTGTGTGTGTGTGTGTGTGTGTGTGTGTGTGTGTGTGTGTGTGTGTGTGTGTGTGAGAGAGAGAGAGAGAG